ACCCGATGGCTTAAAACTCATGTCGGACGTGTGTACGTACGTGCCCAAGATCCCGAGAGAAGAATGAAGAAGGGATTGTGGTGTGGCTATTCCCCTGGGGGGAGGTGATTTCTCACTTTCCGTTTCTCTCTCTCCCTCTCTGGTGAGGGCACACACCCTATAGCAAAAATCTCTTTTTAAAAAAAGAAGCATCGATGGTCAACTTGGTGCCTTCACCTGCTATTTGGATGCAGGCCTTGCCAGAACCACCACTGGCGATAAAGTTTTTAGGGCTCTGAAGGGAGCGGTGGATGGAGGCTTATCTGTCCCTCACAGTACCAAACGATTCCCTGGTTATGATTCTGAAAGCAAAGAATTTAATGTAGAAGTCCTTCGGAAGCACATCACAGGCCAGAACATCGCAGACTATACGTGTTACCTAATGGAAGAGATGAAGATGCTTACAAGGAACAATTCTCTCAATACATAAGAACAATGTAACTCCAGACATTAAAGAGGAGATATAAAGGAAGTTCACACTGCTATACGAGAGATCCCAGTCTATGAAAAGAAGCCCAAGAAAGAAATTAAAAAGAAAAGGTGGATTGTCCCAAAATGTCCCTTGCCCAGAAGAAAAATCAGGTAACCCAGAAGGCAAGCTTCCTCAGAGCTCAGAAGTGGGTTGCTGAGGGTTAAACCAAACCGTTTTCTATGAAGATATTCCAGATAAAGACAATAAACTTAACAACAAAGCAGAAAGTCTGGGACTTGAACCGTGGTTGATCATGTGGGAGTCCAGCATCCTTAACTAACATGCTACCTGCTGGCCCTCCTGATGTAACAATTCTTAATACAACCAGCTGACCAACAAATAAGTAAAACCAGTTATAATGCACTTCTCAAAGAATAACTCATCAGAGAATCCCGGGAGGAAAATACCTTTTCCAGCCATGACTCTTTCAGATATAATCAAGCTCACAGAAAATACTACGGGACATCCTTGAATAATATAAGGTGCAGATGTTGGTCATCTATAAAGGATCCATTATTTCAAGATGACCTTCAATTCATTCACTCACTCACCAACCCACCCATCCTCTAAAATTTACGAAGCTTCTATTCTGTTCAAGGTTAGGTACTAGAGACTTAGGGGAAAAGACATAATGCTTACCTTCAAGGAATTTTTTATTTCACTAAGTGATATACATGTACCTAACTGCTGTAAAACAAGTGTTAAAATGAAAAGATAGCAAAGGAGAAGCAATACCTAGATATAAGTGGAAGAAACAAAGAACCCTTTACAAAAAGGGCTTCACTTTCTTTTACTTGTGGACAGAGAGGTAGAAAGAGACAGACATATACTATACACATAAATACAAATTCACACCTACCCATACACACACATTTGTTTTCATTCAAATATTAAGTGGTCTTAAATAGAGAGTCATGGACTACAGTTTATGGAAATACAGAAAATTATGGATAAATATGACAGAAAGCAGAGACTGAAACAGTAAAATAAATGAACACTTTACGTTTAGCCTGAGTCACTGCCTTAAAAAGGACTTGGCATTTTACTCCTGCTGGAGTCAAAGATGCTCTGGGGAGGTCAGGCACTCCCTTTTATACCCTCAGGCTACTGTAAGGATTTAATTAGTAGCTGGCAAGATTCTACATTTTCTTAGTCAGAAGTTATTAAAATACTCCACGCAAAAAATGTTCCAGCACCAGAAGTAGTATAACTTGGAGTAGAAAAATAAGTTTTAACAATTCAAAATAAAGTATAGGTAAAAACTGAGTATCCTAATTTGCTTTCTTTAGTTGTCTTAGTCTGCAAAATGTCTAACTACCAGGAGTCAGTGCTAAAAAGACCTCAATGTGAGGCAAAGCATTAAAAATATTTAATATCTTTTTATCCCTATCATAACAACTATATTTCAGCACACACTGCTAAAAGTGATTTATCATACTTTTTTTTTTTTTTAACTTTTTACTATAGGGTGTGTGTGCTTGTCAGAGAAAGAGAGAGGTAATGTAAGAAGTCACCACTGCGGTGGGGAGGTTGGTGGAGACACTATAATCACTTCTCCATTCTTTCTCCAGGTTTTGGGCACATACCCACACATTCCCCGCATGATTTTCAAGCTGTCAGATCTAGAACTTCAACCACATACTTGTCATATGGAATCCAGTACCTTAACCACCACATCACCTGCCAGCCCTATCAAATATTTTTTTTTTTTGAGAGGGCATAAGCAATCTCCAGAAAGACAGAGAGAGACAGAGAGACAGAAAGCGAGAAATCACCCCTCAGAGGGGACAGCCACACCACAACTCCTTCTCCTCCATCCTCTTCTCGGAATCTTGGGCATGCACGCACATGCACCTGGCGTAAGTTTAAGCCACTGGGTCCGGGACTTGAACTGCAGTTGGCTATATGGGAGTCCAGCGACATAGCCAACTGTTGGTCCCCTATCATATATCTTTTAAGAACAAAAATTGGCCCTTATGTATTTATTTATTTTGAAACTTTACAACTCCCCTGCTCTGTGGGATTAATTTTTATGCTGATCAAACTAAATTTCCTGGTGGAAGACAACAACAAAGGTATGGGGAAATGAATAAGGTAGGAAAATGTCTTATACTTATGATGCTAGGTATGTAGTGTGAGTCACGCTTTCTTTCAGTGCTTTCCAGATGTTGGGATTTTATGAAGAAATAAACACATTAAAAACCTACCTACGGCCATTGGAGCTGGGAACTATTGCTTTCAGGGATTAAACTAATGAAGATTTTCTGCTGAGACTACATCCACCAGACCCCATGCATGAGTGGTAGGTAACCCTGGATCTTCCTCTCTGTCTCTCTCTGCATTTTCATTTTTTAACTTTTTTTTTTTTAAGGTAAAATATTTTCTTGACTCCCAGATTCTCCTTTTTCTTGTTAATTCTCACCTTTCCCCCTCCTGTCTAGGAGAGGCAAAAGTGCAGGTCTCAGAGAAGACTCCGCCACTGGAGCTGGGAACTATTGCTTTTGTGCGGTGTGTGAGTGTATCACACAGTTTTCATTAAAAAAAAAAAATTTTTTTAAAGAAAGAAATAAAATTTTTGTGCTTTTTGTTATTATTGTTGTTTTCCTCTTTCTCTGTTTTCCCTTTTTCTTTTACCTTCATCACTTTGCTGCTCGACCTCCACACACTGAGTGTTTAGTCAGGTCTAAGTGAACCATAGCCAAACATCTGAATACTATTAGGGTCAGAATATTCCTCAATTCCCATTGAATCTACTGCACAAAGAAAGAAAAATGGAACAGCAGTGAGATTGCAGATCATCTCCTCCTACATGCCTCTGAATGCTCAAACTGAACTTAAAGATATTAGGAAGAAACATATAACCCATCAGATGACCAGAAATCACCATAGAAACACAAGAAATATGAGAAACCAAGAAAATACCTCTCCCCCAAGGGAAAAGAATAACTCCTTTTCATCCACACACAGTACAATGGAACTCACAGATATGTCTGATAAAGAATTTAGAATATTCACAGTGACAAAGCTAACAGATGTAAGAGAAGACAATGAACTCCAGAAGATGCAAGAGAAAAGAGCCAATGAGTTCCAGGAAATAAGTTAGTTCCTGCATATTCTGAAAGGAAATACACACCATAAAAAAGAATCAAAAGGAACTGACTCTTCATTAGAGATGAAGGCTATAATACAGAAAATCAGGGAACCAGCAGTTAGCGTAATGGCTATGTCATTGGACTCCCATGTAGTCGACCGCGGTTCGTGTCCTGGACCTGGTGGCTTAAAACTTACGCCAGGTGCGTGTGCGTGCGTGCCCAAGATCCCGAGAGGAGAATGGAGGAGAAGGGATTGCGGCGTGACCATCTCCTCTGGGGGGTGATTTCTCGCTTTCTGTCTCTATGTCTCTCTCTGTCTGTCTGGCGAGCACACGCGCCCTATAGTGAAAAAACCTCTCCCCCCCCCAAAAAAAAGAGAAAATCAAAACCTCCTTGAAACTATTAAAAGCAGACTAGATCATACAGAAGATCGAATCCCACATGTAGAAGGCAGAATAACTGGACTAGAAAAATCCACCAAGAAGACTGAAAAAATAATATCCCATATAGTAAAGAGACTAATAAGAACATTTATATCTATTCCATGAAATCCTGGAAGAAAACTTTCCAAACCTAGAGAGGCATTCAAAGATCCACACCCAAGAAATACAAAGGACCTCAAATTGAATCAACCCGAGAAGATCTCCCAGACACAATTTAGCCAGATTGACCAAAACCACAGACAAAGACAAGATACTAAGATTGACAAGAGAGAAACATAAAGTTACTTACAAAGGACATCCCTTAGACTAATAGCAGACCTCTTATCGGAAACAATGTGAGCAAGGAAAGAACAGCAAAATATATTTAAAGTGTTGAGTGAAAAACAATTTTAACCAAGAATACTATACCCGGCAAGATTATCCTTCATATGGGAAGAAAAGACAAGAACATTCTCAGATAAATAAAACCTGAAGTAATTTACTGACACCAGGCCAGCTCTTTAAGAAGTTCTGAAGGGAGTGCTATATTAGAAAAACTAAATACAGACACAGAAATAAGAGTTCAAAAACAACTAAGAAAATGGCCAACTTAATGGTAGGGACAAATCCAGAGTTGAATGTTATCTTCTGGAACTTAAATGGAAAGATCAGACCACAATAGAAGATAAAGTACATGAAACTGAACTGGTGAAATAGAATTTTATGAAAGTAGTAAACTACATAACCTTGATGAAGTTACCTTAAGTTCTTGTCCTTAGTTTCCTGATATTTAAAATGAGAATATTATTTAAAAGGTTATTAAAAGAATTAAAAAAAGGAAAAAAAAAAACAGATGCCATAAGTAGAGCATGAAGACTATGCTAGAATAGCATTTAGCTTTTCTCTGTACTAATAGAACCTATTTGTATTTGTAAAGCAATATTCATTATCTATTGGAAGCTACTAAATCTTTTAACTTAGGCCGAAATCCATAAGAGTCAATGGCTGATTTTAAGACTGTCAAATACTGCCTTCTATAAAGCAGTGGTTTTAAGGATATTGAGTAGATCACACATTCTAGTAAGATCTTTAACAAGAACAGTAACTAAGATAATGAATAAGTAGAAGGTGATAATATAAATGCTTATCATCACTATTATTGGTAGATTACGACTGGATATAATTATGCGGTAATTTTAAAATCCATAAATAATAGAACAAATATGGAGACAAAAAAAGAAGCTTGATGTTCAACATTCAATGAAATTGATAAATTATTTATTTACCTGAATCGCTTGCTGCAACAACAACTGTTCCACCAGGAGCAAAAGGATCATTGTGCTTCAATACTTCTACCTAAACAATTTACACAAAACCATAGCTGAAAGAGGCAACATTTCATAGCTGAAACTTCACTGCCATTCCAAAGAAAATATTCTTTACAAACACTAAATTACTTAAGGAATACAAACATTAGGAAAAATGCTTACCACTACTGACTTGTAATCTTACTAACTGGAAATGATAACACGTTATTTTTAAACTTTAATTATGAAATATAATAATCCATTCAGAAGAGTGCATGAAGTATATGTATGCTTTAATAAATAAGTATCAAGTGAACAGCTCTGTAACTAAGAAGCTGCTACCACCTAAGAAATCTTCACGTTCCCTCTCATATATCCTTCATTCAGGTTCCTCTAAGGCTAATATCTCATATAATCATGACATATCTATAAAAACTAAAAAATTAACACTGGTACAAGCTATAAACTATAGACTTTATTTGACTGCACTGGTTTTTCCATAAATGTCCTTTTACTTTTTATTTATTTATTTTTACATTTTTTCCACATTTACTTTACATATCAAAAAACTTTTGCTCATACTCCATAGTTCTTGACAGTTAATAAACAACTTTCAAACTTCTGAAAAACTGAATTAAAAAAAATTGTTATAAATGTCCTTTTTCTATTCCAGGATATCAGGTTGCATTTAGGTTGCACATTATTCTAACTCTGAAATATCCTAGCACTTAAAGCCAGAAAAATGGTACATTTCCATTTTATAATTGTTGTCTAAAAATAATTCTAGGGCCAGCCCATGGCCTAGTTTTTGATGGAGCTGGATTCCACATGGCAGACTGTGTGGTTTGGATCCTGGCCCCAGAAGCTCGATAAATGTGCCAGGCATGTGTGTGTATGTCCCCCAAACCCCAAAAGGATGGAAAAATGGAGAAGGGATTACAGTGTGACCAATCCCCATGAGGGGTACTATTATCTATACTTCAGCTCTTTAAAATTAATTAATCAATCAATGTATTATTATATCTAATTTGACCAGAGAGAGAAAAGGTAAGAAAGTAAGCCACCAGGTCCTAACCATAGTTGGCCATGTGGAAGTCCAGAGCCTTAACTAACACACTGCCTGCTGGCCCCTATACTTTCATTTTTTGGGGGTTTTTAATTTTATTTATTCATTCATTTATTTTAATTTGACCAGAGAGAGAGAGAGAGAGAAAGTGAGAAAGCAAGTCACCAGGTCCAGGATTTGAACCATGGTCCCATGTGGGAGTGTCCAGCACTGTAACCACACCATGTCACCTGTTGGTCTCAATTTTTTTTTTAACTTTTATTTTTAAGGATTATTTATTTAACCTTATTTATTCATTCATTTATTTTAATTTGACCGGAGAGACAGAAAAGTGAGAAAGCAACCCACCAGGTCCAGGGCTTGAACCATGATTGGCCATGTGGGAGTCCAGCACCTTTAACCATGCCACCTGTTGGCTGCTATACTTCAGCTTTTAATCACGCTCAAATGAGTTATATATTTAGGAAGATAACTTTTTTTTTTCTTTCTGGTACCAGATTTTAAAAGTTTTATTTGAAAGACAATATTTTCAACAGAGTATCATCATTTTGTGATTTTCCTGCCCCAGCCTTCCAGTCAGCGAGGGCCACTGGTGCACATCACCATGTCTCCTCTGCACAGCTGTGCAGGGAACTAAACCTGGGTCTCTTAGTTTTTGATACAGGGTGTGCACTTGCCTGAGTGACAGAAAGTGAGAAATCACCCCCCTCTCCCCCAAGGGCAATGGCCACACTGCAATCCCTTCTCTTCCTGTCTCTTCTCAGGATTTTGGGCACACACATATACATGCCCGGCATAAGTTTTAAGCTGCCAGGTCTGGGACTTGAACTGTGGTCGACTACGTGGGAGTCCAGCGATGTAACCATTATTCTATCTGCTAGTCCCAACCTGGGCTTTTATGCAGCCACAGCCAATGTGTATCAGTGACCTACCACCTGTGTCACTTTGGCTGGGTCTGGCATCATGCTCTTTTTAAGGGGTCAGCCAAATACCTCAGATGAGAAAGGTATTTAGAACATTTATCTCCAACTCTAACTCCTGGCTATGAATGTTGACTGTATACAGGCTTTATTTCCAATCATTAAGAAGTTGGATTTTACAACTGAATATTGCCAGAGTTCAATTTATAAATTTCCAAGTAAACAAATGCAGTTGAAGAGAAAAGTTAATACAAACTGGGAATTACATTTTTTCTTTACATTTCAAAAGTATTAGCAGAAAGAAATAATTAACACTAATGAAGTTTTTTAAAGTGGAAAAAAAATTAAATTTGCCATGTGTGTGCACTCTTGAGGGGAAAGGGAGGGAGGAAAGAAGGGAGAGAAAGCACCCCCCATAGGGGATGGGCACGCCAAGTCCTCCATTTCTCCTCCTTGGGATTTTGTACACACACACACACACACAGTGTGTTTTTCAAGCCACTGGGTAAGATACTCAAACCACACGATCGGTCATGAGGGACCCAGCTGCCTTAACCACCATGCCACCAGTTGGCCCAACAGTACTTATTTTAACTGATGCCAGTGACATTACAGTGATATTACTATAAAACTAGCACACTAGCTTAGATGATATCTGCTGAATGAATACACAGCAATGAAAGAAAAAAATTAAACTGCTTTATGTAGTGAGGTAAATTTCCATGTTTCCTACCATGTTAGCCAAGATGGGCTGAATTGGTGGTGAGGCAGTAACACACTGCTCAAGTGAAGCTGGATCCCTGTGAAAGACCATGGGTTCAGTTCGCCTGTGGACCTGTACATGGCAGGAGGCCTTCCTGGCTAGCTGGGAAGGCTGGGGGTTTTTGGGGATAGATTATGCATGAGATCCTTTAGAGATTTTTGTCTTTCTTGCTGTTTCTCACTCTCATGAAAGAAAGAAACTCAAAAAGGAGGGCAATTAAAATAACCCTCATTGGGACCAACATATGGCATAATGGTAATATTGCTGGACTCTTTCTTGTTATTGAGTCCTGATCCGGCAGCTTGAAACTCCCGTTGGGTGCATGTGTGTGCATACCTCAAATCTCAAGAGAATAGAGGAGAAGAGATTGCAGTGCAGTCATTGCCCCTGGCAGGTGGTTTCTTGCTTTCTGTCTCTCTGTCTCTCCAGCAAGCGCACGCACCCTGTAGCAAAAATCTCTTAAAAAACAAAAACAAAAACCAAACTTGTTAATATTAATATAAAAATACTGGCATGAGATATAGATAGTGACATAACTGAAGTCACCAACTATGAATGTTTCTTGACTTTGAGAGAGAAGGAAAAACTAACACGACTTACTTGTTTACTTGAAATGACAGAGTACATGGATGCATGGGGTCAGGTTGGGGGATGGTGTATCCTCAACAGGGTCTCATCACACTGGGATCCCCCTTCCCTACCCTCTAGCTCCTCAGGATCTTGGGCATCCACATGTGCACCCAACATGTCCTTAGGCTGACTTGGGAATCTGAACCTGCAGGTGACCATGTGGCTTCCAGCCTTGCAGGGCACTGTCACCACTGTACCACAGCAGTTGGGCCTAACAAGCCCTGTTTTTAACAAAAGCCTGCATATTTGATTTGCTATGACAACGAGAAAAGGCATGCCTACGTGTGTCAGGTTTAATTTCTATCTTCACCATACACTGTGCTACCACCCTAAAAGGCTGCTATGATAATAAGAGGAATAGTTGATAAGTGTGTAGAGCTCTTGAAGGAATAAGAAGCCACAAAACACAAAACTTGATCTTTTAAAAAAATTTACTATAGGGCACATGTGCTCGAGAAAGAGAAGCAAAAAGAGAGAGAGAGGGGAAAAGTGAGAAAGCACCCTCCAGGGGGATGACCATGCCATTGGCCCTTCTCCATTCTACCCTCAGGATTTTGGGCATGTATAACACACACATATCTAGAGTGTTTTTCAGGCTGCTGGGTCTGGGACTTGAACTGGGCAGTGAGCCATGTGGGACCCAGCTGCCTTAACCACCATGCCACCAGGCTGGCTCACAAAATTCTATGGTTTGTTGTCTGATAATTATGCAATTTAGCATCCAAGTATAGTTTTCTAACTAAATTCAGGTGGTATAATTTAAAGGAATTAATGTTCCAAAATTCTCCTTTAATGTCACCTAATTTATCACAAAAGTCTCTCTTCTATAGCATATGCACTTTTCCCTTTGACAGTAGGTCTTAGCACCTGCACAATGCGAACCAGCTAACCATTCACTAGCTAGGGTGGCAGAAAATGGTAAATCTTTTTGTTTGTTTTATTATGCCCCATAGAGAGCAGAGATCATTCATGGAGTACAAGAGACTTTTGGGGGGAAATCTATATATAGAGTATAATCAGAGACCTGCTTGAAAAGAAGAAAGAGCATAAAAAACCAGCAAATTGGTAGAAGAATTTCATTTAAATTCTAGACCAATGTATTAGTGAAGACCTTAGATTCCGGCCAAATAGACTAAGTTTTGAATCCAATTCTACCTATCACTGACTTACTACCAATTTAACTTAAATATCATTTACTTTATCTTAAAAATTGAGATATATAGAATTCACTTTGGATTATTCTTGGAACTTAGAAGAGATTAGATAAGGTGCAGCTATTATTATATTAACAACTTGGTTTTCTGTTTCAATTTGTTTTTTTTTTGGAGAGGTTTTCGCTATAGGGTGCGTGCGCTCGCCAGACAGACAGAGACATAGAGACAGAAAGTGAGAAATCACCCCCCAGGGGGGGTGGTCACGCCACAATCCCTTCTCCTCCATTCTCCTCTTGGGATCTTGGGCACGCATGCACACGTGCCCGGCGTGAGATTTAAGCCACCGGGTCCGAGACGCGAACCGCGGTCGACTACGTGGGAGTCCAGCGACATAGCCATTACGCTAACTGCTGGTTCCCTCAATTTGTTTTTAATGGAGAAATTATAAGCTATCAGCAAGGGTCATATTCCAGTTCAAAACTGGAAAAGAAAAAGAAAAGTAGAACACATGGTAAAAAAAATCTCACCAGGGAAAGGAACAGGAGAAATGTGTTTATTTTTAAATTAGGAAGAGCTGATTTGGCTTTCTTTCTCTTTAGATGACAGAAGTGTAGAATGAGAGGCTGAAATAAGAAGGTGAGAGGAAAATTCAGGTTGCAGCCTATTTTAGAATTTGGCAAAGGGGTCCCTCTGCAAACTAAGGGCTATAGGAAACCAGAGTATCCAGTGACCTGTGGAAACCCCAAGTACTCAGTTACAGAGTTATGTGTCCAGTTTTACACCTATGGAAAATACCAGTTGTTGGCCAAGTAGCTCTTTAATGAATATAGTTAAAAGAGCAATTCAGGAATACAAAAATTGGGCCAGCAGGTAGTGTGGTGGTGAGGCCTCCCACAACCAGGTTGCTGGACTCCCACATGGTCAACTGTGGTTTAAGTCTTGGACCTGGTGGCTTGCTTTCTCACTTTCCTTTCTATCTCTCACTGATCAAATTAAAAAATAAATGAATAAATAAAATTAAATACTTCTTTTAAAAAAATTAGGTCTCTTGAAGGATGAACTTAAATTTTAGATACTGTAAGTTAGGCTAGTCAATTCCAGTGGGTGATCAGACCATGAAATACCAGCCAGAACCCAAGACTAGCTGGGTCAGGATAAGATTGAAATTCTTTTTTTTTTGAGTTTTTTGCTATAGGGCGTGTGCACTTGCCAGAAAGACAGTGAAAGACAAAGTGAGAAATCACCCCCTGGGGGGATGGTCATGTTCCCTTCTCCTCCATTCACCTCTCAGAATCTTGGGCATGCACGCACATGCGCGTGGTGTGAGTTTAAGCCACAGGTCTGGCATTCGAACCGCTGTCGACTACATGGGAGTCCAGTGACATAGCCATTATGCCTACTGCTGGTCTCAATGTTGAAATTCTTATATGGTCATTTAAATGAGGATTTTTCAGGATACTTAATACCTCAATTATTGAACAGTTTTTAATTCCCCCACTTACCGATGTATTACTGCTACTGCTGGCTGCACTGAAAGGATCAGTACTTGAATTGGCAAAAGGATCAGTAGACGACTGCTTAAAGAAACAATCAGATGCAAATGGATCTGAACCTTTGAAAGGATCACTACCAAATGGATCTAAAAAAGTAAAGCACAATAAAAGAGACTAAAAATCATTATACTAAATGTCCTATTCCCTAAAGGCACAATCAATGCTTTATCCCAGTTAGGTACATTTTTCTTTTTTTAAGATAGGGTCTTGCTTTTGTGATCCTCCTGCCTCAGCCTCCCAGATGCTACTCTAGGGACACACAACCAAGCCAGGCTCTTTTTAGACAGAGTCTCGTAAGTCACCCAGGCCAGCCTCAAGTTAATGATCCTTTTCCTTCTCTTTTCTTCTCTTTCATAAAGGGGAGGAGTCCATTTCTCTAACTACCCAACTTCTGACCTCTCATTCCCGAATACAATGTAAGTTTATAATTTAGTAGATCGAATAAAAATATGGAACTCAATAATATACTGACCAATTTTCCCAAAAGGATCATCCTTGAAAGGATCACCTGTGATAAAATAAACAGAAATCAAAACAATCATATTTAATGTTGTGGCACCATTAAAGGGTAACTTGAAAACAAAAGCAAAGTTGTTGCTTTTTCAGTTTGCCAGAGGGTGTGTGTGCTTGCCAGAGAGACAGAGGAGATGGTGAAAGCACCTGGATGGAAAACGGTCATGCCATAATCAAGCCCTTCTTCATTTCTTTTTCCGTTTGAGATTTTGGGCACATGTACTTGGTGTGTTTTTCAAACCACTGAGTCTGAAACTCAAATCCTGCGGTGGGCCATGTGGATCTATTTCCCTTAACTATCAGGTCATGAGCTGGCCCAGCAAAGCAAAGTTTCTTAAAGCAGCTTGTTATAATAAATCCACCTCAAAGTAGATAAAATAGTGAATGTCAAGGTCATCCACCTTAGGAAGTGTTCAAAATAATAAAGAGCAGAAGGGAGACCTTAACAACTTCAGAAAAGAAAAAAATTTGAAGTATAGCCAACTATATTTACTTTGATCACAAGTCAAGGTAACAGATGGCAAGGAAGACAGCTCTGACAGAAAAATTTTAGTAATTACTACTTTTCACCTGAGTATTGAGTGGGTATTACTATCACTTCTTCAAAAATAAAGATACTGGGACCAGCGGTTAGCATAATGGCTATGTTGCTGGACTCCCATGCAGTCGACCGTGATTTGTGTCCCAGACCCAGTGGCTTAAAACTCATGCCTGGCACGTGTGCGTGCGTGCCCAAGATCCCAAGGAGAGAATGAAGAAGAAGGGACTGCAGTGTGGCCATCCGTCCTGGGGGATGATTTCTCGCTTTCTGTCTCTCTGTCTCTCTCTGTCTTTCTGGTGAGTGCATGCGCCCTTTAGCAAAAACCTCTCCAAAAAAAAGTACTAAGCTTCACTGAAGCAAAAAAAAAAAAATCTACTTAAGAGCCCAGAAATAAACCCTTACATGTGCTCACTGGAGAAACAGAGAGAGAAAGCAAGAAATCATCTCCCAGAGGGATAGCCACATAGGAATGCATGCACATGTACCCAGCATGAGTTAAAGTTGCTGGGTCTAGGACTTGAACCGTGGTCGACTAAGTGGGAGTCCAGCAATATAACCATTATGCCATCTGCTGACTCCTGGTCATTTTATAAAATCTTTTCAACATATGGTGTTGAGACAACTGGTATCTACATGCAAGAGAGAGAAGTTTGAACCCAACCTCCCACCATATATAAACTAACTGAAGATGGCTCAAAGATCTAAATGTAACACTTAAAACTATAAAACTCTTAGCTTTGCAACTTTGGATTCGGTATGGATTTTTTTTTTTTTGGGGGGGGAGAGGTTTTTACTATAGGGTGCGTGTGCTTGCCAGAAAGACAGAGAGACAGAAATCAAGAAATCATCCCCCAGGGGCGATGGCCATGCTGCAATCCCTTCTCCTCCATTCTCCTCTCAGGATCTTGGGCACGCGTGCACACGCACACACACACACACACACACACACACACACGCACACACACACACATGACCCCCACACACACGCACACACACACACATGCCTGGTGTGAGTTTAAGCCACCAGGTCCGGGACTCAAACCGTGGTCGACTACATGGGAGTCCAGCAACATAGCCATTATGCCAACTGCTGGTTCCAGGATTCAGTATGATTCTTAGGTATGATACCGAATGCATTAAGTGACAAAAGACAAAAATAGATAAAATGAATTTCACCCCAATTAAAAGCTGCTATACTTGATGGTATACCATCAAGAATATGAAAAAATAACATTGAATGGAAGGAAATGTTTGCAAATCATGCATTTGATAAAGAAATTATATTTAGAATATGTAAAGAACCTGAGAGGTCAATAATAAAAAGATAAATAATTCAATTAAAATGGGCAAAAGGATCTTTATAAACATTTTCCAAAGAAGATAAATTATATAAATGGTCAATAAGCACATAGAAAGGTGATCAATGACATTAGTCATTCGGAAATACACATTAAACCAACAACGAGATACCACTACATACTTACTAGGATGGCTATACTCAAAAGAAGAGACAAAACGCATTGGTAAAAATGTGGAGAAACTACACTGTGGAAATGTGAAATGGTATAGCCTCTTGGAAAAACCACCTGATGGGACCAGCAGTGGACATAATGGCTATGTTGCTGGACTCCCATGTGTTTGACTGCGGTCTGAGTCCTAGACCCGGTGGCTTAAACTCGCGCTGGGCACATGTGCGTGCGTGCTCAAGACCCCGAGAAGAGAATGGAGGAGAAGGGATTGCGGCGTGGCCATCCCCTTGGGGGATGAATTCTCGTTTTCTGTCTCTGTCTTTCTGGTGAGTACACGTGCCCTATAGCAAAATCTCTCAAAACAAAACAAAAAACACACAAAAAAAGACAACAACAAAAAACAACCTGACAATTCATCAATCAATTACACTGTTACTATACGACTTGATATATATGCCCAGGAGAAATAAAAATAGATCCACATAAAAATGTCTACATTGAGTGTGTGTGCTTGTGTGCCCAAGATCCCAAGTGGAGAATGAAGGAGAAGATCTGTGGCATGGCCATTCTCCCTGGGGAGTAATTTCTTGCTTTCTGTCTCTCCAGCAGGTGCACATGCCCTAATGCACAAATCTCTCTCTTCAAAAAAAAAAAAAGAGTGCCCAATCTCCTCTACTGGTCTATACATCTCGTTCCTTTGGTCCCTGTTCTGAAGAAGAAACATACTGTAATCAGGGACTCCTAAGGTATACTCAAAGGCTTATTTACTCCTGAGATTTATCTCCCTATGAAGAATAAATATGTATAAATCTAAGTATATAAAGCTCCCATTCTAATCTCTACCTTCATTTTAACAAGTAGGCTCTCAAAACTAAAGCTTAATTTTTGGGCTGGCAGGTGGCATGGTGGTTAAGGGCTCTGGGCTCCCACATGCCCAGCTCTGCTTCAAGTCCTGGACCTGGCAGCTTATTTTCTCACTTTTCCTCTCTCTCTCTCTGTCCCTCTTTGGTCAAATGAAAATAAATAAATAAGCAACGAAGGGACCAGCAGTTAGTGGAACGGCTATGTCGCTGGACTCCCATGTAGTCGACCGTGGTTCGCATCCCAGACCTGATGGCTTAAAACTCATGTCGGGTGTGTGTGCGCCCAAGATCCCGAGAGGAGAATGGAGGTGAAGGGATTGTGGCGTGGCCATTCTCCCTGTGGGGGTGATTTCTCACTTTCTGTCTCTCTGTCTCTGTCTGTCTGGCGAGTGCACATGCCCTATAGCAAAAAAAAAAAAAAGCTCTCCAAAAATAAATAAATAAATAAATAAATAAATAAGCAACGTTAAATAATTGCAACAACAAACAAACCCTGAAGCGTAATTTTTAGAGTTTTACCTATTTCTTCCTTGAGAAAGAGAACGATGGAGGCAGGAGAGATACCCTTAGCAGGGTCCTCACCTTATGATCTACCCCAGCCTCCTCTAGCTTCTGCCAGCCCACATCATAGGCACATATGCCCGGCAAGTGAAGGGAGGCCCTGTGGCACAAACAAGGACAGGGACTGTCCCATGTGGGTCTAGTTGCATTACTGTTGTGCCACCACTTGGCCCCTTGAAGTGTAATTCTTATACAGTTTATATATTAAAAACTCCTTTCTGGGTAAATCTGTAATATTAAAAAAAGAATACTTACTGCCAACGAAAGGATCAGACTGGAAAAAATCCAAGTTTGTATCTGCAACTGGATCTGTCAGTGAACTTGATTCTACATTAAATGGGTTTTCCTAAAAATAAGTTAAAAATAATTATTTTTAGGAACCAAAATTTTAAAAGGTAACTTTTAAAATAAAGTAATACACATGCAGGTCATATACATGCTTTCAAAAATCAACTGACAGTAATAAAACAGTATTTCTGTAGTTATAAAATATATTTAACACATTTTTCTCTTTTCTTAGCTTACGATATGTATAACTTAGATTTAAGAAAACTCAAGTAGGGACCAGCAGATGGTGTAACGGTTATGTCACTGGACTCCCACATAGTAGACCGTGGGTCGAGTCCTGGAACCAGTGGCTTAAAACTTACTCCAGGCGTGTATGTGTGCACACCCAGGATCCTAAGAGGAGAATAAAAAAGAAGGGACTGTGTGCATAACCATCCCCCCTGGGAGTGATTTCTCACTTTCTGTCTCTCTGGTGAGTGCACACACTGTATAGTAAAAAAAAAAAAGGAAAGAAAGAAAACCCAAGTGATAAGAACATTTAAATATAAAATTATTTTTACCTCTTTTGAATGTCTGTCATCGTCAAATTCAGGACACACTTTTTCATCAACAGCGGCAGTCACTACTTCATTTTCATCAGTCACACCAGAAGGCAATATTTCAGGACTGCTCCTTGCCTACAAAACATTAATGAAATGGACTAAAAATATGTTCTTCTATTGTACTTGACAGAGGAAAGTGACAAGGGATTACCAAAAATTACTTAAAAATTAGAAACAGTGCTGGTCTTATAGCACAATTAATCCCTGTGCAGAGGAAGCCAATCTCACTCAGGTAACCACAGCTTGAATTCCAGCCCTAGCAATGGCCTGAAAACCATTCTGGGCATGGGCATGTCAGCCCTAGATCTTGGTGAGATGAAGAAATGGAAGGAAATTAAGAACTGTGGTGTGACAAGGCCCCACCTGGAGCTGCTTTCTCTTTCATGTGCACACATGCGAGTGCGTGACTGTGTCCTCTAGCCAAAAACTTTCTTCTCCTATAAAATTTCTTATGAAAATGGTATCAAAGTCATTCTCCAGCTAGAATAAGCCTCCAAGTTTGCTCAATCTATATCTTACCTCTTCTTCTAATCTCTGCCTTTTTCTTCATTCTCACTGTAACTAGCAATCATTTATAATATCTTCTCTGGCCCAGATAACTGCAACCAGAAGGCACACCTTCCCGCCTCCGAAAATGTACTCTTCCAATCTATCCTCTTTATAGGAGCCAAAGTAATAGATCTAAAAATGAATGTGATCATGACTCTTCTGGTTAAAAGTCTTTCAATGGCTCCCTACTGCTTTCTTGATTTAGACCAGTGGCTAAAAAGGCTTAAAAAATAGCAGGGGCAATCTCCATCTCATACCATCCTTATGTGTTTGAAAGATAGCCTAGTCACCTGTCTTTGGTGCTTGAAAAACTATTGTACAAAATATCTAAGGCTGTACTATCTAAATAAAATTAAATCTGTTATCTTTACCTCTTTACAACCTCTCAAATTTATGTTCTCATTATCCCTCCTGCTACTGCTGAAGTTTAGGCTAAAACAACTCTCACATAACTATTCCAACAGTCTCTTAACATAGTTCTGTGCACAGTCCCACTCTCCAATCCTTTTCTCACGTGTCTAAATTCTTGCCTAAAATGCTTCATGGCTACTCATTGTAGTGACATATCATTTATGCATCAAAATGAATAAAAATCTAGCCCTTTTTGACCTAAAGGTGGTCATTTCATTTTTACTCAGTTACACATCATAACTACCCATGAAATTTGCTTTTAAATATATATTTGGTATAGCCAGTGGTGTGGCAGCTAAGGCAACTGGATCCACATGGCTGACTGTGCAGTTTGTATCCCAGACCTGGTGGCTTGAAAAACACACAAGGTGCATGTGTGTGCACATGCCCAAAATCCCAAAAGGAGAAGTGGAGGAGATGGGATTGCAGTGTGATCATTTCCCGTGGGTGGTGGGAAGGTGCTTTTTCACTTCCTCTCTCTCTGGGGAGTACATGTACCTTCTAGCAAACTAAGACAAAACAGCTGTACCTGGCTCCATCCCAGAAACTCTAGTTCAGTAAGTTAAGGCTAAGACACACACATCTATGTTTTGATAAAGTACCAGAGTAATGCAGATACTCAACAGGAGAAAACCTAACCTCTTATAGAGAGCCGCCTCAGTATCACAAGCGGGCTTTCAAAACTTCTCATGATTCTGTGCAGTGTGCTTTCTCTGCCAAGCATGCACCATTCTCTTCTTGCTTAATTTCATTTTCACTTACCAAACCTCACTTGCAAAGTTTTCCCTGAGCCCCCTCTAATCCATCCTAACCAGAATATCCTGTTTCCTTTATCACGGCCTTTTAAACAGTATTATACTACTAAACTGGATGCTGCTTGAAATAAGGGTTAAAGTTCTTTTGTCTCTGTAAATCTCATATATAATATAGCACTACTGTACATAGTTGGTGCTCTCTAAATAATTAGTAATGAGTTTTGTAATAAAGAATTATTAGTTTTGGCCTTGGGAGAGGGTAAACTTTAAAAAAATTTTTCTATCTACAGAAATATGCTTTAAAAACATCTATAGCCTTTTGGCTGGAACCGCCATCTTCCAGTAATTAACCAAAATGACGAACACACAGGGAAAAAGGGTAAGAGGAGAGGCACCCGATATATGTTCTCTAGGCCTTTTAGAAAACATGGAGCGGTTCCTTTGGCAACATATATTAGAATCTACAAGAAAGATGATATTGTAGACATTAAGGGAATGGGTACTGTTCAAAAAGGAATGCCCCACAAATGTTACCATGGCAAAACTGGAAGAGTCTACAGTGTTACCCAGCATGCTGTTGGCATTGTTGTGAACAAACAAGTTAAGGGCAAGATTCTTGTCAAGAGAATTAATTAAACATATGAAGCATTCTAAGAGCAGAGATAGCTTCCTAAAACGTGTGAAGGAAAATGACCAGAAAAAGAAAGAAGCCAAAGAGAAAGGTACCTGGGTTCAACTAAAGCACCAGCCTGCTCCATGCAGAGAAGAGACACTTTGTGAGAACCAATGGAAAGGAGCCTGAGCTACTGGAACCTATTCCCTATGAATTCATGGCTTGATGGGTGTTAAAAATAAACTAATCTGTGGTCTATAAACATGTTTGCCTTAATTGAGTAGAATTACGGTCACTCCCCAAAGCTAATTTTTATTGGGCTTTAATTCATTTTATAGTATATTTATTCAAATTTAGTATTTTTTCACCTGAAAGATGTTAGGTGGTTTGGTTTATACAGCAAATAAAACTCAGTTGGTTAAAAAAATAAAAACATCTATAAAATATAAATCATTTAAAATTACATTTTTACACTAGTTAAAGCTATTAGAATTGTTGGATCAGCACTCACTCTTTGCCTTTAAGAAAGCAATCTCATTTGTCCTCAGCTAAGTCACATCCACACATTTATATTAGTTATGATGCCATCAAAACTTCGATATGCACTAATCTTTTCTAAAGTTGATGATGAAGGTTATGGAACTGTAAGACTCACTGGAGACTCCTGGTGTATAGGCTCAGATTCTAGGTTGTTCTGGCCTTCAGCATGTTCGTTGAGGTTGGCTGTTTCACTGCTGCTGGTGCTAAGGCTGCAGTAATCCGTGGCACCATTAACAAGAACACTGTGTGGGCTACTGCACCAATTTAACTGACTATTATGATTTTCCAGATCTTTTATTTCCATCAGTTTCATTTGCATCTGTCAAAACAAAGTAGAAATACAAAATAGAATTTATTACTAGAAAAACATGTAACAGAAAAATGGCTATACCCCCAGACTTGGTCAAGGATAAATTTGCCTCTTTCAAGGAGAATCCTTTGGAAATAAAACATATCTGTGAAGAAAGATTTCAGGAGCTTTCCCAGTAAGTTCTCCTCTTGGAATTCCATGGATTTGCTTTTGTAAACATTTTGGAATCTCTAAGAATTTTGATTTAAATATCTGTAGACTGGCAATTCTTTAGCGAATAGTCAGAAAAAGAAAAGTCAAGGGATTGAGAGAAAAGGTAGTAAAGCAACAAAGAAAGATGAGAAATTTTGTGATGAAGCTTTAGGAGAGATAAAGAAAGGTGAGGGAGGATACTCAAAGCTTTGGAATCATCTATCCTTCTACTGAGAAAGGAGTGAGGACAAAGTAAAATGAGCTAGTGTTCTATCCCTTAACATTACTTATTAATAGGTTAGAGTAAAGGTCTCCACCTTTTTTGGCACCAGGAACCAGTTTCATGGAAGACAATTTTCCCATGGACCAGGGTATAGAGGGTAGGGGGTAAATGGTTTATGAGAGCACACAATCTAGATTCTTCGCATGCACAGCTCGTAGTAGGGTTCATCCTCCTATGAGAAATTAATGCCGCTGCTGATCTGACAGGAGGTGGAGTTCAGACAGTAACACCAGCAATGGGTTGTGGCTGTAAATACAGAAGCAGCTTCGCTCTCATAAATAAAGATAAAGCTTTGCTCATGTACATACAGATGAAGTTCCACTCATATGCCTGCTGCTCGCCTCCTGCTATGTGTGTGACCTGGTTCTTTTTTTTGTTTTTCCTTCTTTTTTAGAGGTTTTTTTGCTATAGGGCGTGCACACTCGCCAGAAAGACAGAGACAGGTAGACAGAAAGCAAGAAATCACCCCCCATGCCGCAACCCCCTCTCCTCCATTCTCCTCTTGGGATCTTGGGCACGCATGCACATGTACCCGGTGTGAGTTTAAGCCACCGGGTCTGGGACTCGAACTGTGGTTGACTACATGGGAGTCCAACGACATAGCCATTATGCTAACTGCTGGTCCCCCCAAAAAGCAAAATGTATACTAGAGACAAGAGAAAAAAATGTTTATACAAACACAGAGAGTAAATAAAGACAAACTTATGAATATCTCGAAGAAATTGAGAATAAGGCAGATTAACAACATTTCTATTGAAAGCTGGCCTCCTTGTAGGGAGTCAGATCTCATACAGCCTACCATGATTCAGATCCCCAGTGCTGGCTTGAAAAACACACTGAGTGTGTGTGTGTGTGTGTGTGTGTGTGTGTGTGCGTGTGTGTGTGCTCAAAATCCTGACAAGCTGCAAAAGTGGAGAAGGACTGACCACCTCCTACTGGGGCATGCTTTCTCCCTCCCTCTGCTTCTCTTTGGCAAGCACATGTGCCCTCTGGAGATTAAAAAAAATATTAGCAAGACTTACTGAGCATTTATATACAAACACTATACTAAAATGTCTCTTAGGTTTTGCCTCACTTAACCTTCACAGTAGCACTAAGTAGGGGTACTGTTAATTCTCTAATTTTAAAGACAAAGGATCTATACTAAGATGTTCAGCTTGTCAGTGGCAGAGCTGACACACCTAAACTGCACTAGTCCACATTCTTCACCGTTACTTCAATGATAATCATCACATATACAAAATGTTATGATAGTTTTTATGTCTAAGAGGTGACAAGAAATCTGTTTCTATAAAATGACTAAGAATAGTAAGCTAGTCAGAGGAGAAAGGCACAGTTAGAAAGTACTATTAACAAAAAGGATATGTGATGATTCATTTGAGAATATTTTTTTGCTTCAAAAAGACTTACTGAACTGATTTCCTGTTGTGAATCTTGTAGGTGCTGCTGAAGAGGTTCCAGCTGAGCCTTCCCTGATTCTACACTCTCCTCTAATTCTGCTGTTTCTTGCTGTAGACGGCTCAGCTCTTCCTTGGCTTTGGCCAGTTCTTCTTCATAAGAGGAGATCTGAGACTCTTGATTGGTTAATTCAGCTTTCAGAGACGAGATCTATAATAACATGAAGGTGAATGAGAAGAAAGGAGGACTAGGAGGTGTCACCAAAATGACCCCATAACACAATACATTTATTTCTTTAGTTTACTATTTTAGTGTTTCTTGATCTATGCTTTTGGTAGAGAAGGATAATCATTGGGATAGAGGAGAACTGAAGGCATAGGTATCATATTTGCAAGACAAATTTGGAAAAGCAGAGTACTGGGTTGTCAGGAATGTCATGACACGTTTTTGCATAGAAAAAGAGAAAAATATGTCATGATGTTCCTGACAACCTAACATTACGTGCCTTTCTATTACCACTAAAGCAGGTCTGTGATTCCCGAATGAACCTTGCTCCATTTTCCTCACAGGCCCAGCTGCTGACTAGACTGACACCTCACAATAACAAAAAGTAGAGAATGTTTTTATCTTAAGCCGGGAAAAGCAACTAAGGTATAGATGTGGGCAGCAGGAGAAAGCCAGACTTTACCAGCTGGGCCTCCTCAGCACACTTCTTTCTGACTTCCTTGAGTTGCTCCTCCAGCTGGGCTTTCTGCTCATCCAGCTCATCAAGGAGGTCCTGTACTTGCTGTTTCTGGGCCTGTAGTTTTTGCAGGTTAGTATTTTCCCTTTGAACTTCATCTTGAAGATCCTGAAATACAAGAAAATTAACCTATTCATTCTCTTTGGGGATAGAGGGAGGCTAAGTTAACAATTTTTAAGTTTATATTAAGGGAAAACAAAGTCCTTTTATTACTGAATATGTTGTGTTAGTAAACTAGAATACTCACAGCTTCAAATACAGTCTTTATTAAGGACCTCTCCTCTAAACTCCAGAATTAAATATCCAATTTGTTTATTTAAATCTGTCCTTGAACGTCTGATGAGTTTTTCTAGTGAAAAAAAAAAAAGGCAAAAACAGGACTCCTGGCACTTACCCCTAAATCTTCTCCCTTAGAGTTTCGCTGGTCAAAAATTACGGCATCTTTTTGGCTCTTTTCTCACATTTCATCTTCAATCTGTCAGCAAGTCCAGTTCCTTCAAACTATACGTAGAAACTAACCAATTTCTTCTCTTCCCACCCTGGCCCAAGTTACTCCTAACTCTTTCCAAGATTCCTGCCTTCTAACTGGTGCGTCTGTTCCCATCCCAGCTACTTTCAGTGTATTTTCAGCACAGCATCCAGTTTTATCAGATCATATCGCTCCTTTACTCCAAACCTGGCTCCTTCTCACTCACTGTAAAAACTAAAGTAGCACTCTGTGATCCTGTCTCCCAATTTTACTCACTACTGCCCTTTTTTTTGTTCGATCTATTTCAGCCACAGTGAAAAATTTCCTTAAATGCCAACACAATAGATAAGCATGAAAGACTCTTCCAGTGCTAACATTCTGTGACCTATGTGATCACAGCTTCATGGCGGTGAACTCCTTAGTACTTTATCATTAATATACCAGTATGCCTGAGTTTTTTCATGCCTACATGTTTAACCTTCCCTGTTGCCTGATCCATAGTCAAATATGGAGATGTAGCTTTCTGCACAGAAGTGTATATATATAGATGGCTCTCTATATGCACATGGCATTGGCTTTCAATAAACCCATGCCGAGTGTATAAAGTGACTTCAATTTTTATCTCACTAAGTCCAATAACTTCAAGTTCTTCTTTGACTTTCTCTGTACACATCCTACAGAGTCTACCTTAAAATATCTCTTTAAGTTGTCTTGCTTTCATTCTCTCACCCCAGATTTACTGTACTACTGGTTTTTCCACCTTCATTTCTTCCTATCCCAAATGTTCAAATTTCTTGAAAAAATAACTTACTGCATAAAAGATTTTCTTAATCACTATTATTTCTTAAACAAGTGATTGTTCCTTCCTATCTGTAGAACAAAGCAAAATTTACTGCAAGGGGCCAGAAGGTGGTGTGCTGGTGAAGGTGCTGGACTCCTACACGGCTGACTGTGGTTCAAGTCCTACACCTGGTGGATTGCTTCCTCACTTTCTTTTTCTCTCTTAGTGTCTCTCTCTGGTCAAATTAAGAACTAATGATAAAGACAGATGAAATGAAATCATTTTTTAAAAAAATATTTATTTATTTAATTTCATTTGTTATAATTATTATTTTTTTTAATTTGACCAGAGAGAGAGAGAGAGAGAGAAAGGGAAAGTGAGAAAGCAAGCCACCAGGTCCAGGACTTGAACCGCAGTCAGCCATGTGGGAATCCAGCACCCTCAACCACCACGCCACCTGCCAGACCCTGAAATAATTTTTAAACGTTGCTGCAACATGTATTAAAATTTCAAATTTAGGCCCTAAATTAGACTTCCTAAGTAAGGACTAGCTAGTGACATGGTGGTTGAGACACATGGGTCCCATATGGCCAACTGCGCGGTTCAAGTCCTGGACACTGCACTATGAAAAACATACCAGGCACATGTGTGTGAGTGCCCTAAATCCTGAAGGGATTGAGAGATGGAGGATTAGAGACTGACTGCAGCCTGATTACCCCCCATAGGGGGTTGCTTTCTCATCTTCCTTCTCTCTCTTTCTCTGTCTCTCTCTAGTGAGTGCATGCATCCTCTGGCAAAAAAAAGTTTTTTAAATTTTCCTTCTTTTCCTCATAATCACCTGTGACCCGGTAGTAGAAGACCCTTTTAGACCATCAACATACTTCCATGTCCCTGCTCCTTTCCTAAGTTATTTCCTATCTTCAATATTTTTCCACAATATCAGTATCTAGAAACACACTGTTCAGTATTAAAGATCCAGCCAGATTTAATCTTCTCTGATTCATGGCAGGCTTCCTTTACCTGTGCTTTTTTTTTTTTTTGGAGAGGTTTTTGCTATAGGGCGCGTGCACTCGTCAGATAGACAGAGAGATAGAAAGTGAGAAATCACCCCCCAAGGGGGATGGCCACGCCGCAATCCCTTCTCCTCCATTCTCCTCTCGGGATCTTGGGCACACATGCACACGTGCCCAGCATGAGTTCAAGTCACCAGGTCTGGAACTCGAACCGTGGTTGACTACATGTGAGTCCAGTGACATAGCCATTACGCTAACTGCTGGTCCCTACCGGTGCTCTTAAAGTTGTTTGCATCTCACCTCTATTGTCAGACTTGCTATACTGTATCAGGGTTACCTCTCAATCATGTAACTGCTGAAGGACAAAGCCCATGTTTTGTTCTTTAATTTTCTAAATCTAGTACAATGCCTGCCGAGCACATTCCACATTGCATTAGTTATACAATGACTGTAACTATGATAGAACCTTAATATCTGGATTAATGAGAAATGTGATTGACAAAAAGAAAGGACTTACATTCTTTTAACATAATGTGAAAAGTTTCATTCTGTATTTAAACTATAGCTGAATATGAATACCGGCCTCAAACTGACCTGTCATATTTTTAAAATTTAAGTAATACCTATATTTCTTTTCTTTTCTTTTTTAATTACCAAAGAGAGATGCACAGACAGACAGAGGGAGAAAGTAGCCCTGAATGGGGTATGGTCACATCACGGTCTCTTCTGCATTTCTCCATCCTGTTGGGATTCTGGGCATGTACACACATGTGCCCAGTGTGTTTTTCAAGCTGCTGGGGCAGGGATTCAAACCATGGTCAGCCATAAGGGCTCAAGCTCCCTTTTTCATAGGTTATGGGACAGGCTCAGTAATACCTACATTTCTATATTGATTCAGTATTTTTACAGTCTATGAACCAAGGCTGAATGACATTTAAAAGTTCCATCATGTAGAAATAATCTTTTGCTTTAGCACGTCATGATGGCACATACTGTTCTTGTGCTTACTAAGCTTACTATTTGTTTATATTATACTATATGCCATTTTACCCTCAGAAAAGCAGAGTAAAAGCTTAACCTGAACATATTAATAGTAGCCTAAAAACTACAGTGGTTATGAATAATTCTTGTAATTCAGCTGTGAGATATTTTAAAGTATGCTACCTTTAGATCTGAAGTAATCTTGTGAGTTTGGGAATATACTCCATCGTGAAATCCTTATTTTGTTCATAGATTTTAAAACATTTAATTTTACTTACTATTTTTGAATTTGACCAGAGAGAGAGAGAGAGAGAGAGAGAGAGAGATAGAGAAAAGTGAGAAAGCAAGCCACCAGGTTCAGGACTTGAACTACAATTGGCCATGTTAAGATTCCCGTGCCTTCACCACCATGCCACCTGCCGGCCTCTTTTTCATGACAAATTTAAAAACTACACGTAACAATTTGTTGGTCCCAAAAGCATTTTTTAAAAATCATCTTTCCCTTCCATTAAAAATGGTTAGAGGAGGGGGGCGGGCGGGGTGAAAAAAAAAAAAGGGTTAGAGGAGGGGCCAGCAGATGGTGTAATGGTTACGCTGCTAGACTTCCACATAGTGACTGCAGTTCAAGTCCCAGACCCAGCAGCTTAAAACGCTCACCAGACATGTGTGTGTGCACACCCAAAATTCCAAGAGGAGAATGGAGGCAAGGGACTGTGGCATGGTCACACCCGCTGGATGGAGGTGATTTCTCGCCTCTGTCTTTCTCTGTTTCTCCAGCGAGCACATGCACCCTATCACAAAAATCTCTCTCCCAAAAAAAAAAAAAAAGAAAAAAAAATTTACGGGTGATCTATCCCTATCAATAAATATTCTAGTCTAATTTTCTAGCTTCTGTCACATCTCAAAGAAAATCTAGGCCTTCACATCTCTAATAATATCTAGTCCCTATACTCAGATATCTTTTATTGTAAATCTAGTAAAGGACAATACAATTTAACTTAAAAGAGTCACATAATATAAAAAAAAGTCTAGTACATTGTGCTGATATTAAAATCTGAATATAAAAGAATATAAAACTGTTTATGGGGCCAGCCTATGGCACAGTGGTTAAGAAGGCTAGATCCCACATGGCTGACTGCATGGTTTGAGTTCTGGACCGAAAGGTCTGAGAAATAAACTGGGTGTGTGTGCATGTGTGCCCAAAACCCTGATGGGAGGAGGAATGGAAAAGGGACCGTGGCACGACCATTCCCCATAGGAGTACTCTTTCTCATGTCTACTCATGCTCTCCCTGGCAAGTACACACACACTCTGGAAAAAATTTTTTTTTAATTTATTTAAGTTGGAGAAAATAAAGCAAAGTATTAACAATAGCTCTCTCTAGAATAGCTCTCTTTTTTTTAATACTTTCTTATAGCTTATAAATTTACTATTATATAAATCCATATTACTTTTATAACAGGAAAATGTCAAGTTTGCCATTTTTTTAAAAAAATATTTATTCATTATCACTATCATTATTGACTATCTCTCTCAGAAAGAGAGAGAGAGAGAGAGAGAGAGAAGGAAAATGGGAAAGCAAGCTACCGGGTCCGGGACTTGAATCACAGTCAGTCATATGGGAGTCCAGCGCCTCAACACTATGCCACCTGATGGCCCCAAGTTTGCCATTTTTTAAGTATCGCATCTCTGGTGGTTTCATATCAATATAAAAATAGTCTATTTTAAAGAATTATTTAATTTATCATTATTATTATTTTTAATTTGCTACAGGACATGTGCACTCACCAGAGAGAGAGAGAGAGAGAGAGAGAAAGTAAGAAAGTAAGCCACCAGGTCCAGGACTCAAACTGAGGTCAGCTAT